TTGACATTGTTTTGATGAGGGATACGCGTTGCTTTTTCCCTTTCGTTGTTTTTTTTGATTAGTCGTTGGCGACTGTCCTTAATGTACTTCCAGTGGGCTTCAGAACCGCACGTTGTGAATCGCGTCACGAATGAACACGAGCTGCGCGGACGTTGCACGCAAGGTGGTAAGAATCGTGGCATTCATTGCGAAACGAACCGCCGTGAGGAATACATCCCAGGACATCAGAGTCGTGCATTGAATTTTGAACCAGCGATCAAAATTACGAGTTTGATGAACACGCTCACCATAGCAGGTGCTTGCGGTACGCGGGTGAGACCTTGCGACGAAGTCCACGATCATCCCGGAGAGTCTCGGGACTGCGCTGAACTCACGTCATCTATCAATGATAACCTCAGCAGCCATGGATACCGATAACCACGTTTTCTAGGACGATCGACTCGTCGGCTGCCTTGGAGCAGATCTTTGCAATCTCGAACCATCCGGTTACGGGATCAATATTTGTCAAGCAATGAAGTGTGTATGAATTCTTTTTCTTGGGGTTCCCGACGTTGTAAGGGCCAATCAGGTCAATACATAGTCTTTCCCAAGGAATCCCCTCGCAAGTCTTTGGAGACATCAATCCCAGCTTAAGCGTCTTGGGTTTGTTCATCTGTCATCTTTGGCAACGCTGAAATACGGCCTGAACAGTCCTGCGCAGACCCTACCAGGTGTAGTGTTGGCTAATGGTTAGCTCCGTGCGAATCTCGCCAGGATGCATCAACACAACATGGTACCATTCAACTAACTTCTTCTGCATAGTTTAAGGTACGACGATCTTCCTCGGTCCTGACTACTATCCGAGGACTACCTCTGGAAAATTGCTTTTAGCCGTTTGCTGTTCCCTGAGAGCTTCTGTACGGTTGTCGTCTTCTGACGCAGTTCGATCTCGGGGAACAGACGAGAAACTCAAGGAATCCCTCGTCTGCACCATGAGCCAGCGATCTGAGCTGGCGGTCCAGAACTTTGAAAACCGTCGTGTCAGAGATGTATCTCGACAACGCACGCGACGAGTTGTCCCCTTGATACCGAGCAGGCCATTACCAGAAAAGGCGCCATCTGCATTACGCTATCGGTATTGAATTCTTTCATGTAAGATTCTTGTTGGCCGTATGTACAACGATCTTCCTGTCCTAAAGAATGTTACGGAATTCTTTCAAGTTTCTACGATATGAAAAGTTCCTTCTCGGTAACTGTGTAACGTGTCTGAGAAGGTGTGAGCTTCCTGCTGTAGAACGCTAGATAGGTTTTCCGCTTCGGAATTACCCGCACCTATTGAGTATTACTCGCATCCGTGGAAAGAATGTATCTTGAACGTCAGGGTAAGGCAGAAGGTCTCTAGAACTTCTTCAATGCTGCTAAAAAGCCTGTCGTGTTCGGCTTCCTTTTCCACTTCGTTGTTTTTGAAGTCAACGAAGCGAGTGTCCAGTACATTGTGATCGTCAATCCCACTGTCCACTAATCACATATCCAATGAATCTACGGATTGTCCTTCCTGGGAGGAGGAGCGAATTCGTTGATCGCGTCTATTTCGGTTAATTATTAACCTTCTCGCAAGTAATCCAGTAACCTAGGTACAAGTTCCCTCTTTCGAAGAAGGACTGGTACATGATCATAGTCCGGCCTCGAAACCTTCAGTAGAACTTCATCCAACTTTCAACGTGATCTGCTAGTCCCGTTAGTTAGATATGAGTAGATCATAAAATGTATGCACGCCGTATCTTATCGTGCAGTAGTGTTCCCATCCATCTCTTGGAAGATGTCGGACGTATTACTAGGCCCATTGGCCAACCTCTGGTACTCGGACTTTCCCCACGGGAGTAAATGGTGCAGAGTTGCCTTCAGTGAGGTGACAGCTCGAATGTGATAGTATCCATGTTACAGGTTAGACTAGTACGCATTGAGATCCGTCTAAGATTCAAGAGCATGTCCTGTATTTTTGGGATAGGATAAGCTTCCGCTTTAATCCTTTTGTTAGTTCCCGGAAATTTAGAGATAATCGTACAGACCCTTCCTTTGGGACATGAAAAAAGTTGGTGCACGCCCAACCGGAACGGTTTAACTTCTAAGTACTCCTGCCTCGCAGAATTCGTTCAACCTCCATCTTAAGAGTGTTGGTATGAGACTCGTGAAATAGGAGTAAGCCTATGCATGATAGGTTTACATCAGGAGAAGTTTCTAATTCGTAGTCGTCCATCTGCCACTTTCTCCAAAGTACCATCAATAGAGTCAGAGTACTCCAGCATAAGGAGGTGAACTGTCCTCTCTTCCGGCTTAACGAAATCTTGACTTGGGCAAACCTGCCTAATCAGCTTGTTCGTATATCGCAATCAAGAATCTTCTTGAGACAGATCTGCTGCACTGTCATTCACAGCGGAGGATCAGAAATGAAAAAGTTTCTCTTCTTCATTGGTGTCGCTCTTTCATAGGAAAGATGCGCCGTCCGATTCCACTGACATGTAGTGAAATCGAACTTGAAACCTAAGTCAGAGAGAATATCTCGACCTATGACATGTCATACTCCCCCAACGCTTTTGGTGACATGTAGATCCATTCGATAACCTTATCATCGTGGAATCAGGAATTATGAATGCACCCTTGCACTCGTGCTGGTGTTTAATTCCCTGCAGGGGTAGTCCAACGTTTGGACGCCCCCAAGATCCTTCATGCGTAATTTCTTAGCATGAGGTTGAGCAATCAATTCCGGAAGCTCCTGTATCCAGCAACAACGGAGTGTAACGGGTTTTCGTCCCTTTTTCGCTCGTTAAATCTAACATAAACGATGGGTTGAGGTCTCTTGTCTGCGACGTTTGAGGTGGTTGGCACGGACGAGGTTAACGATGCTAATTAGATCATCAGAGTCTAGTTAGCAGCTTCTAGCAATCATCTAATTGCCGTAGTGTTTACAGTTGAAACAATCTTGTTACTATTTAGTGAGATATCTTTCATCACTTGGTATGAAATCGGAACATGGTTCCGTGAGTCATCATCCTGGCCTAAATCCTAGATAGAGATTATCCCATCCAAGGATTGAAATTGAATAGAGGAGTTTTCCATTGTCAGAGTCTCTGATTGCGCTTGGCAACAGTTGTCGAAGTTGCAATGGCAACGAGTATCTCGTTCTTCTTCTGTTGTCGACGAGAGGAAGAAGGGTTTGTCACGCAACTGTTTCTCAAAGTTGCGGAACGCATGCTTTCCTTGAGCCATCTTCAGTGAAGAGGAATAGGTTGGGTAGCTGAAAGCTAATGTGTTTGTTAACAAAATGCACTACGCTAAAAGCAGTGTAAAGATCTTCCGAGTGTTTTGAGTTTGGGAGAATAAAAGTTATGAAAGAGATTAGAAAGCTATGAAAACTATCAACGAGAGAGATCATCTAAAGGGATCGTAGATCTGCTTCCCGCGGGAGACTTAAGTGTGATAGAGTGGTTGTGGTGTATCCTAGTATCTTCACGATCCTAAAACGGAACTCGTGGAAGATTGTTTAGTTTTATCTAGTAGCGTGGAATTACTCCACGCTGGCTAAATTCTAGAGCATGTTTCATCATCACACTAGTAAACAGCGCGGTAATGAAGAACCCTGTCTCAAAGACTATTCAAGAGACTCAGTCATGACATGAGTCGAACTCAAACCCTATCTAGGATCGAGTCGCGAATAAGGCTAAGAGCCGTGTATTGCACATGATTGAAAGATTTGAGAATCGAAACTTTCCACGATAGTGACACAATCGAAAACCAACCAACCAACAAACCAACCAACAAACCAACCAACAAACAAACAAACAAGATGGCGGCTGCTGAGCGCTACAACGCCAACCAGTTCTTGGCTTTTGGGTTGGATATTGTTGGCTTTGAACGATGGGAGTTTATGCAAGAGAATGCCAACATTGATCGGTTTACGAATGCATTCGGAGCCAAGCCAATTACATGCGAGCAGATGTGGAGTGATCTTGTCACGATGGGTGAATTGAACAAGAAAAGCAAACCAAAGCACTTCTTCTTGGCATTGCGATTCTGAGGTTGGATTGAGTATCAACAAAGCGAAGTTGATTTGGATTCACGGACCAACACCTCCTGGCCTACACAACGATCTTGAGGTTGCTAGAGAAGAGTTACTACCGAAACTACGTGCTCACAATGAAGCGAAATCAAAAGACCCACCACTTCGAATCCTTGCCGATGGAATCTATTCTGCCGAAGAGGAAAGTGACATCATCAGTACGAAGAATGAGTTCGATCCTTATGACATTGAAGAGTTCAAAGACAGAGCACTTTCTCGCCAAGAGAAATTCAATTTACTTCTAAAGAAATGGGATGTCCTCCACACGATGTTTCGCCATGACCAGGGTGACTTTTTAGTTGCCCACAGATCATGCATGGAAGCAGTCACCGCCATTGCCCTCTACCAACTCGACAACGGAAGCTACAGCCTATTCGATCCTTATCCGGATCCCAGTTAGCTTTGTCCATCAGAGCGGCATCCTCTGAACAACAGAAGAGGAGCCAGCAATATGCATGAGACTACACGACAATACCCATCGGCCGACTGTGTGGTCGCTACCTCTTCATTGCATGGTGTTGAAAATGTGGTGTTGAAAACGCGGTGTTGAAAAAGTGCTGAAAAAGTGACCAACTTTTTCAACACCATTTTCAACAGTCCGAGCGGCACTGGACTTTAAATCCAACACTTTTTCAGCACTTTTTCAACACTTTTTTCAACAGTAGGCGTTACTTTTCAACAGTTGGCGAAGATTTTCAACACTTCCGGCAAAATGTCATGATGACGTCCAATTTACTTAAAGGTGTGCCACGTCATATTCGCCAAAGTCAGCATTTGCGGGACTTTCCTGTGCCTGTTTTTCTGTTTTTCGGTTGAAGCTTTGACGAGGGTCCGGGTTGGGCTTCAGCATCAGTCGTGCACTCTTCGTCAGTCCTTCACCCCGCGTGGCAGAACCACGTCGAACAACAAAGAAGAAGCCTGCCTCAGACTTTCAACGAACTGAGGAACACGGTCAAAGACTCTGCTGTTGCTATTGCATCTCATAAACCACAAGAAGACAACTATTTAGAAGCACCAACCAACCAACCAACCAACCAACCAACCAACCAACCGACCAAACCATGTCAAAAGTAGTGGTATCGTTTCGAGGGCAAAAGGCAGAATTTGATCTTGTAGAAGGCCTTACAGGAGGGACCATCAAACAGAGTCTCATTGCCATTGCCTCCGACAACAATGATTCGGAACTCCAACCAGCCGACATCAAATTGTTGTTCAAAGGCAAGAACTTGGAACACGACAACCAAGATATGGTGCAACTATTGAAACCAGCAGGCAAGAAGAGTTACAAGATTATGGCCATGGGACGATCCAGCAATGAGGTACACGCCATACAGGAAGAACACGAAGACGCCAAACAACGGGCTCCCCGCATCCGAGATGACTTGACCCCCGGCGGACAGCGAGAAGCCGAGAGACGCAAACAGTTGGGACGACAAATGATAATGGCAGCCGCATCCCGCAAAGCAACAACCAGCACTGCCTATGGATTTGGCCGTATTGAGACACTGCCCAATCTGCCGCATCGTGACCAGGCACACAAAATCCTGTCGGAATTGGCCAATGATCCAGGTGTCCTGGCGTGCATGAAGAAGCACAATTGGCACGTTGGATCCTTGGCGGAACTTTACCCCAAAGGCAATGTCGGTCAATCCGCCGTGTGTGTCATGGGACTCAACAAAAACAAGGGACAGCAAATTTTGTTGCGGATTCGCACCGATGACTTGACCGGGTTTCGCAAAATCTTGTCGATCCGCAAAGTATTGTATCATGAACTCGCACACAATGTGCACTCGGAACACGATGGCAAGTTCTTTCAATTGATGCGACAAATTGAAAAGGAATGTACCGAAATGGATTGGACACAAGGGGAGGGACTTTCGGCGGCAGAGGGTGGTGATGCGGACAATGCCTTTACCGGAGGGACCTATCGGCTTGGAGGAGGAGGAGGGGTTGAGACGACTAAGAATGGCATATCTGCCCGAGAAATGCGAGCTCAGGCGGCTCTGAGCCGCATGACAGCGGAAGAACAGGAAATCCAACAAAATTGTGGATGTGGAAGAGAAGCCTCCTTCCTTCCAAGCTCTTTGCTGGAGCCGTCGTCAACTAGTGATCACTCTACGGATGGCAATAGTGATGTGAAGGATATGGAGATGTCATGATGAAAGTTGTGGTGGTTAGAGGTGGAAGAAAGAAAGCAGTACGCTACTTGTAGGATATCCATCTTTTAGATGTACTGATATTTTTGTAAGGACAATGTATCTACATACAATTTTTACTGGGCCTAGGTGCTTCTGTTGTGCGGAGCAAGTTCACCGCCTACGTTGGCTCTCAGGCTAGCTAGCCATCGCCATTGACGACATCGTTGTGACGGCTATCGGTGCCGGTGCCGGTACCATGTTTTCTCTGGGTTTGAATTTACAGTCTCATTACTGGCTGGCTATCTCTTTGGATATCAACTACCAGGTAGTGGATACTAGCTAGCTAGCGGGCCATGATGATTGCACTCTCATCTCGGTGCAGTCGACAGTCGACACAAGCATAAACCACGGGAGAGGCATCGGAGCCAATGACATGATGACATTGTGCAGATGGTGGTGTCGACTTGCGCGCTCTGGATTCGGAAAAGTGAACCCTAATTTCTAAAGGGATAAAGAACAAGAAATTCATGAAAGCGTAACCAACTCTCGCATCAAACCTGTCTCGATCAGCTCTCAAGACACAGCCACTTTGTCTCTGGTTGACCTTCATATTGTTGTTTCATCGACCTGTCAAGCTGTTGCCTTACTGCGGTAACAAGTATCTATCTTTTATCTTTTATAGACTTCATCGGAGCAAACTTCACCATGTCGGACTCCAAGAAAAGATTCAACATCAAAGTGAGTGTTTACCAATCAGCTTTCTTTCGTTTGCGTGGGCCTGGTACAGTTTCTACGTGACGAAGGATCCAATCCACGCTTTTTGCCGTTGTCCCATCGTACGGACCGAAGACACTCTATTTGCATCTCATGTTTCGTTGTTCATCTCTTTTTGCTTTGTTTTCATTCCATCATTCACACTTTGTCGCAATACTATATCAATAACAACAACAATAACAACAACAACCAACACTACTCGATAGCCCTTTCGAACACACGTTCCGATGGATCGCAACGCGGCGCAGCAGATTTGGGAGATATTGGCCAATGCGATTGACGAAATCTACAACCGCAATGCGTCTCAGTTGTCGTTTGAAGAGTTGTATCGAAATGCCTACAATTTGGTTCTACACAAACATGGGACTCTGCTCTACGATGGTGTCACGGAAAAGCTCAGCTCGCATCTTTTGAATACTGTCAACCGCTTGGCCGATATTGAAGAAACCAAGCTACTGGATGAAATGGCGTCCACTTGGTCGGAGCATCAGGTAAGCAAAAGGAAACTCACAAAAAGACAACGACAGCACAATCATTCCTTTTTAATTGAGGGAAGGCATCAGACGTGATCATATCTTCTGACCTTTTCTTTTGTTTCTCATGGCTCTTGTTCTTTTTCCGCAACTGCATCCATTTTTGGTTCTCACGTTCTTTTTCGCTTACCGCAACAAACAAACACTACCAGATCACCATGGTCATGATTCACGACATTTTGATGTACATGGATCGCACGTATGTGCAGCAACAACGCCGCCGCCCGGTCTATCCTCTTGGATTGCATCTCTTTCGCATCACTGTCTGGGAACACCCACGAATCAAGGACCGTGTCACACAACTTTTGCTCGATGCCATTGCCGCGGAGCGTGCCGGATTGTTGACGGACGATCGATCCCTTTTGAAAGCCAGCATCAACATGCTCTTGGAATTGGGACGAGCTGATTTCTCCAATGTCTACGAACGGGATTTTGACCGCCTCTTTTTGGGCACCACCCAGGAATTCTACCGCAATGAATCACTCAGCTATTTGAGTCAAAATTCGGCAACCGCCTACGTCTCGAAAGCCATTAAGCGATTGGAAGAAGAGCGAGAGCGCAGTGCCGCATTGGCGCTTCCGGCCACGACAGAAGCTCCGCTACAAAATATTGTGGAAACCGAATTGATTGAGCGTCATGCCCGCACATTGGTCGACATGGAAAATTCGGGATTTGCGGCCTTGCTAAAAGATGACACCAAATTGGAAGAAATGCGGGAGATGTATGATCTTTTCATCCGTGTCCCTTCGTCAGTCGATAACCTGCGCGATGCTCTGGCAGAACGGATCAAAGCGGATGGGAAAAAATTGATTGAGGACCAGCAAAAAGGCTCCAGCGACCCACCTGCCTTTGTTCGAGGTGTCTTGGCCATGCGTGAACGATATGAACGTATTGTTTCGGTCAGTTTCCGCGGGGAAAAGAAGACACAAAAGCGAATGCGCGAAGCATTCGAAGACTTTTTGTACGTATGGTTGTTTGCATGGCCGTCGAGCAGTCAGAGTTGACGTATTCTCAATACATGCATTGTTTGTCTTTCCTTTTCACTACAAAACTGCAGAAATGTTGATGCTCGGGCTTCGTCCTGCTTGGCTGTTTACGTGGACGAATTGCTCCGAACGGGGCTCCGTGGTGCCACTGAAGAGCAAGTGACGGAACAGTTGCAGAAGGTCATTATCGTTTTCCGGTACCTTTCCGATAAAGATGTCTTCGAAAGCTTTTACAAGCAACACCTTGCAAAACGTTTGTTGGGAAATCGCAGTGTCAGTGACGACGCTGAGCGAGCCATGGTCAGTCAGTTGAAGGCCGAATGCGGCTACCAATTCACCAGCAAATTGGAGGGAATGTTCAATGACATGCGTATTTCCAGAGACATGCGCGACACATACAAGAATTACCGTCGCTCACAGAGTCAGCAACAAGGAAAGCTGGACATGGAAGTGGATGTCTTGACTAATGGATATTGGCCGTCGCAAAACGTCCCCCCTTGCACTCTTCCCCAGTTAGTGCAAGACGCCATCAAGAATTTTGAGACATTCTATCTTGAGAAACACACTGGTCGAAAACTGTCGTGGCAGACTTCTGCGGGTGCTGCGGAACTGAAAGGTGTGTTTGGTAAAGGTCCCAACAAATACAATCGTCACGAGCTCTGTGTCTCGACGTACCAGATGTGCATCCTCCTCCTCTTCAACACTGAAGACACCCTCACCCTCGGACAAATCCGGACCCGAACTCACATTCCCGATATGGAATTGAGACGCCATTTGATTTCTTTGTGCACACCAAAGCATCGAGTCTTGCGCAAGGGTTCCAAAGGCCGGGGCATTACGTCAGACGACGACACCTTCTCGTTCAATGAGGATTTCTCGAGTAAACTGAAGCGCGTGAGAATTCCGTTGGTGAAGGAGTCCTCAGTCGTTCGTGCGGATGCCGCAGGAGGAAATCCTGCTGTCGCTGGAGTTGCCGTGGCAGCTGCCGCAGCCGCCAACTCGGGCATTGATGGATCTATTCCGTTGCCGGTGGAGGAAGATCGCCGCCATTTGGTAGAGGCCGCTATTGTGAGAATAATGAAGGCCCGAAAAACTCTACACCACAACGACTTGATTGCTGAGGTGACCAAACAACTTTCTGTCCGATTCAACCCCTCGCCTCAGTTCATCAAGAAGCGAATCGAGAGTCTGATCGAGCGTGAGTATCTTGAACGCTCCAATGATGACCGCCGAGTCTACAACTACTGTGCTTAAGAGTTATGTCAGCTGCAAGCGAGGTTCTTGTCTCTCGTTGCTGGCTGATCGCTTATGATGGTGCACGATAATGATTGTCTACAGGTAGAGATTCAGTCCTAAAGATAGTTACGTTTAACCTCCTCCTTCTGCAGCAACTCCAACACTCTGAAGATAAGACTCTTCGCTTTCCCCCAACCTTCGATCGCCCAATCAATGAATCAGCCAAGGTGTCAGAGGCCGCCATATGAACGCTGTTTAGGGAGAGAAAGAGAACCTGGAAGTTTTGCAAAACAGTTGGAACAAGAATGTAATTTGGTCTTTTGCGTACCGGTACGCAATCCACGTGTATGTTAGTTTAGTGTAGTTTAGGATGCCTACTGGTAGCTAGTATTTTTCACCATTGATAGTCAAGGACCCGCTTATTCCAGCACCTCCCCACTTCTCCAAGTCCCACCACAGAATGTGCCACCGGTAGTCCACGGCTGCGTTGAAGATACCAACCGATTTTGGTCCTGTATTTGCATGGACATCCGTGATGATTTGCTGGACAATTTGCTGGTCGATCACTGTCCCTCTCTGACGCTTACAGATGCTTACAATGGAGTTATTTTACAGCTGTTTTTTATGTATGTCCTGTACGTTGTACGTAGCATTCATTGTATGTACCTATCGTATAAGATGTAGAGCAGCTCATCCCCCGAGCAGTTTTGTTTTGAGTCCTTGCAAATCGTTTCTCCAATTCCTGCCTCTAGCTGCCTAATCCGACTGAGTGACTCTTGAGTCACTCAGCGCCATTTTTTGTGATCATCTGACTCTTCACTTGCATCCTTCAACCTGGCTGACCCTGCTTCGGTTCGCGAGGCCAGTGCTGCCTGGACTTGTGCCGAGCTGAACTGATTTCGGCTAGGCCCACCACCGAGTTGCATTCCTCCTCCACCGGCGAGAAGGTCAACAGAAAACCCGCCTGTGGAGCCAAGTCGCTGTTGAAGAACGTCAATGCCCTCGATTGGCCTTGTCGCCAATCGCTGTGAATGCTGCAGCTGCTGTGTATGGGGTTGCGTTGCGAGCTTGTTAGTCAATTGATGAGGGGGGGATAACTTCAGCAACTGCTCCATTTGGCGCGTGTCTAACTGGCCCAGCCCCATCGGCAAAGAGGAAGGCATTTCACTGGACGATGCATCTTGGAACATTTGTCCGAAGTTGTTGTTCCATTGATTTGGCCCGTGGGCCCCAACCGAGAGAGCGAATTTGTCGGAGAGAGCAGATCGAGCTGCTGAAATCGCATTGACGTCATTCCCGCCGAAATCGTGTAACGATGCGACCCCTTCTGGCCTGGCAAGAGCAGAAACACCTGTAGGTATTTTGGAGAGACTTTGCATTTTGGAGCGACTTTGCATTGTCGGAGAGCTGGCGGTCGCCAATAGGCTCTCTGTGAGACTACTCGTCGTCTCCTCTTGTTCTGGAAAGGTCGCTAAACCATCCTCATCTTGGGTCTCGCCTTGACCGACGTTGGCCTTGCTTTGAGCTTTCTCATCTGATTTAGCCCCAGCTCCTTCTTTTGCCTTCTTTACAGTCCCAACCCTCTTCATCTTCTTGCACAGATCAGGTCTATCACGTATGAACAACTAAGAGCACCCATTTGTAAGACATCAGAATGTTGGACAAAGCTGCTTGTAGGCAAGGCGCGGTAAACTTACATCGTGCCTGTAGGAATTATGATCGTTGCCATGCAAGATTCGCTGGAACCCCCAACCATTTACTTGTCTCATGAAAGAGGCGTACTATTGCAGCAGACCCAACAGAATTTGCAACACAAGCAGCCAAGAGTTAATACAAACGAGGTACCAACGACACGGACGAGCGACATGAACCACACGCAATCCGTGTGAGGGGGGCATTCATACAGAACATAAGATCTTAAAGCTCCCTCCCACTCTCTCTGCAACTCTCTTACCTTGGAATGTCGAAAGTGCACAGGAATGACGAGGTTCTCAAATGCGCTCGGTTTCAGTATTCTCCAAGACCGCCCATGAGGCATCCAAGCAATCATTTCTTGATACTCCGGATTGGAGAGTATTTCGTGAAGCTTCAGAGGGAATGCAGCATCCTTTTTGCTGGTGGTATTGCCGCTGGAGGCTTTCGGGGAAAGAGCATCAGGGATTCCCTCTGAAGCTTTGACCTTCTTGCTGGAATCGGATAAGAGCTGCGTTGGCTGCGCCTTCTTCATACTAAGCTCTGCTAGATGAGTTGGCGAAAGCGTATTGCCAGACTGTCGCTCCAGCTGCATTATCCGCGCACTAAGACTTGGATCTGGATGTTGGCTGCCAATTGAGTCAAACCCAAGGGATAAGCCCAAGGAATCACGACGTAGTGCTTCCTGCTGACGTTGAAGCTGTCCTTGCATTTGAAGCTGTTCTAACTGCTTCTGCTGTCGCTGTTGTTGCGACGGCGTGGTCGGGTTGCCTCTGAAGGACGATTGCAGGTTCTGTAACCGTTGCTCTTGTTGCTGTAGTTGCTGCTGCAGTTGTTGTAGTTGAGACATTGAGTTTGTCGGAAGCAATGTGTCCAAGGAGGCATTACCGGTACGATTAGTAGCACTATTAGAGCTTGGTAGACCCAGATTCAGGTCAGTTGCAGCCGAGGAGGAAGATGCTTGGTGTAAGAGTTGCTGCGATGTGGGCAGAGCATTGGGTGCGGGGAGCGCCCCGAGCCCAGCAAAGGAAGGCAAGTGCTGTGCCCTTGCACCGGCACCCAACCTGGAACTGTTCAGCAGCTGTTGGGTTCCTGGTCGTCCTGCCAACAGAGAATCATTCATTCCCAGCAGGGTATTGCTGGTGGGGCTGCTATCGTCGCTCCCCGGCATAGGGGCGCCAAGAAAAAGAGCCGCTGCCGCTGCTTGGGCTTCTGCCTGCACCCTCATGGCATCTGAAGATCTCTGTAATCCACCTAGTGCCTGCTGTTGCAGTTGTTGTCTTCTGAGCTGCTGCTGCTGCTGTTGCTGCTGCAACTGCAAAAGCTGCTGTTGCTGAGAAAAAAGATCCCCAGAAGCCTGAAGGGCAGACAGTTGCAGCTGAGCACTGGCTGCTGACCCCAGCCCATGGCTCATAGAGGGCAAAGACTGCGTTTGAGAGGCTAGGGCTGCAGCATTGGCTGATGACAGCGTTTGCTCGGCCATGTTAAGGTCCAAACCAAGAGCGAAGCTGCTGCGACGCGAGGTTGGAAAACTGAGATCTCCCCCCAATCCGACACTTAACCCCATGCTTTCACGACGACTGCTCAAGCCCATGTCTGGTATACTACCTCGCCTCTGAATCTGGAGCAACGGATCATGAGGCCATACACACGAGGGCACATTGCTGACCACGGACGAGTTCGCAGCCACTCTAGCATTCTGTCTGGCGCCGTGCATGGCGCTGAGGGACGATAAGGCTTCGACTGAAGTCTGCTCTTTCGACTCTGCTGTGCTAGATGAACTATGGAGATCATCAGTCCCATTGTTGGTATCTTCGAAGTCTTCTATCATGGCTGTGTGTCGGTTTTACGACCTACGATCAGGAACAGCAAGACGCATCACTGCAGCTTTAAACTCTGTTTCACAACCCTTTACCTTTTTTTCCTTGCTTTATGGTCAGAACACAGAGCCCTTGTATGTATGGTTAGCCAGGAGCTTGGAGCTTGGTGGGAGCTCCAACACACACAGCACGCAGTGCAAGATAGCCGTAGTGGGCACGGTGGTGGGGCAACTGCAGATGTCGTTTGATTTTTGAATGTACCGAAGCGTATTTAAGGCTTCGAATCGTCTGTGATTCAATTTGTCCAGCCAACGTGGAGCATCAGTACGATGTAAGTACAGTACAACTGCAACTTATGATAGCTCTTATGATTAGTGCGGTTCGACGTGGTAAGTCCAGTACGCAGCGAGACTGACATGAACGACATGCCATTAATTAACCTTGCTGACCACCTCAGGGCAGTTGCCGGATGTCTCAGAGTATTAAATCAGTTGGACTCTTACAGTGGACACTAATAAGCCGAACGCCGAACGGCTACATTGGCTAGATAGCGCTTTGTCGCTTCTCTCTAGACGAACTATCAATCCTATAGACGGACATTTAACCAACAATAAGGGGCACATCGGGTGAGCTAAGTTCTAGAGTAGTTAAGGCACTAGTTTACTTTTACCATCAACTGTGAATGAAACCTTTTATATTTGCCTTTTCTTTAAGAACCTGATCAGAAATAGATGACAAGACGAAGGACAATTACATGTACATGGTAATACCGGTATGGGTTTATTTCGGCCAGTTGATTGTTTCAAGTTTCAAGAGACCATCATGACTTTATTGAACGCTACATCAGGATGACATGCAAGATAGACTACTTTGGCAGGTACAATTGTGTTACCATAAAAGATATAGGAGCTGTAATAGTAAGAGTCTTTTCAATGGCTAAACTTCCTTCAACGGGTGCAGAAAGACAAACATGTCTGCCTCTTTCAGGTTACGGACTGAGTCTATCCAGCTTGCCTATAGGATGAAATTCTTCGCTGCGCTAAATACCACCTTGTACAGTCGTACTCTTTAAATTCAGGATACTAGATGTGGGGTTCAACATATCGCGTTCCCTAACCAAACTGGATGATGAAAGTATCTCATAATCAAGGTAAACATATTTCTTTGCTTTGGGGAAGAATGCATTTAGAGAGAGACATGAAACTCTGTATGTTTCAATGTGTACAAAACTCTTTCGTCAACTTTGATGGAAAACCCCGATGATTATGGGAAAGTTGCTGTTGCCGTATGTAGAGAGAACACCAGACATTTCTGGTAAATGCTTGATACACGCAAACGGAAGAGACTGTTCCAATGCGATGATGCCATAAAAGTCACAAGCTGCTACTCGAGTACCGGCTGCCCTGATGGTGGCTTGCTTGCTGATGGCAGCAGCGCTTATTTATTTGGATGGTGAGATACCGGTAGGTTAGATAGTCGAGGACGGTAGGTTGTGGTGACCTGATGCTTAGAAGATGAGAACTAGTAGTCTACAGAGGCTCAGAGGAGGGCCTTGATGAGAACTTCGCTGCATCGACTGTCACTCCCAGCTTGGATGACGTTGTGCCTTGCGCCTTGGGGTGTGGCCCTCTTTTATGTGCCGCAATTGTACCATACAGTAGTGCCGGTACCACTGGTAGATCTATTTTAACATAATGAATTTACGTATTCACTGCGAATTGCAGCTGGACTCCAGTATGCTTGTACCGGTAGAAACTTTGGCGCCGTGCTCATCCGGTCCAACAGTCCGGGAAGTCTGGGTGTGGAGTGTGGAGGGAAGAGGGAAGCAATGTTTGAGAATTCATCAGACTGCTTTCGAGCAATAGAATGATGAATGATCATTCAATAGCTATTCAATCTGTCTGACCTGGTTTCATCCACAATGAAAGGTCGCCACAAAAGCCGAACCGACCCCCCACCAGTTTCAAGGGACCTGGCCTTGATGACATATCGACTCTCTAACTGTAGCTACCGAAGAGATGCGTATGGCTTGAAGACAGGCGAGCCAAAGAGAATGACAGGAGCAAACTGGCACACCAATAACGAGTGAAGCACTTGTATGTGCGTACTTCTTGTGCAACTTGGTTGCTGGTCAACTGGCTTGTCAGCCAGTTGCTGGAACGCTGGAACTTCTCTCCTTTGCTCAAGTAATAACGTTAATTGAACCAAGTTGAGTTCTCATTACTACCAGTAGTATTGGGGTACTCTGGAGTTTTTATTATCATCTGTTGGCCTGGGTAATTGTCACCACTACCCCTCTCGTTCTGCTGGCGATGCATCGCATTGATCATTGTTAGGATTCTTTGATTCTTTGTCCTGAGCACCTTTGGGCACTATCACTCGGGTAGCTTTTGCTACCCGTTCGCTGTTGTTGGCGGTTGGCGGCTTCCTTTTCGCCAGTCATCACGAGTGGGAAGAGTCACTTCTGCGCGTTCATTAAAGAATTAGAGCGCAGATACCTCTAAGATAGCGACTGCAGCTCCCAAAAAAGCCGAAACAGCGAATGAATCGATTCGATTCGATTCGATTCGATTCAATCGTAATAAACCGAAGCAATCCGTGGAGTTGAATGGTTTAGCGATTACACTCCAGGCTTGCTGGCTTGCTACAAGCCACTCTCAACCTTGGGGCTTGGAGGGTGGAGGGTGGGAGTGGGCAAATGCGATACTTTTTTCCAAGCCATGTTTGTTAGGAGTAGACTACGCATCTGTAGTGTATGGCTGATTGGTTCCGGAAGGTCAAACTTTGCTCTGGTCGAAGCTGCCTGCAAAATAGTGGTGCGGAATCTACCGGTACTAGCTAGTACCTCCAACAAATCTGATTGTACAGCAGGATAAGATCTGCAGGAAAGATGAGATGTTCTGTTAATACTAACAAGGGATGTTCAAAGATACTCTAGCTACAATTATGCTTGTAGCCTACCAGCCGGTAGCGGTACCGGTAGCGGTACCGGTAGCGATACCGGTACCGGTAGCGATGCCGGTATGTGCTACAGTAGCCATTGTGGTGGGTGTTCTAAAGCCAGCTACCAGCTGGGAAACAGGTAAATCTAAGACACGTAAAGTCCAGCCGTAGAAAATGTACTGGGCCTACGCAAAAGAACCTGTCCAAAGGTCCTCCGGGATTGAATTTGAAAATTTAATTCACGATCATTAAAGCATGACTCAGAGTTGACTTTTCAGGACCAAGCATTAAGGAGCTACCACCCGGTCTGTCCGGCTTTTTAGTCATGAGTTGGCTGAAACCCAAAATTACTCGAGAAAATCGCGACAACAAAACAAAAAACCGTTTTCAATCGCTCCTTTTGGATGCTGTTGGGACTGGGTGTTGTGCTTGTTGTACTCATATTTGACAGTACATACCATGTAGTTAAATCTTCGAAACATACATGTTAAGAAGGAGTGACTTAGTTAGACCGCCGCTGGGGACCTGGTCGATAGGTCCCAGCAGCAGCAGACTTAGCTGTCGATTTCGACACGATTTCAGAGTTAACAGTGAACTAAATGATCTAAGCCCCAGCGGCGGTCCAACTAAGTCACTCCTCCTTGTTTGTTATTATACAAGTACTATTTGTATTGGCCAAAGGCTTAACAGAGATCTCTATTCTACTCAACTGATCAGTCCAATTCAGCGATTTTTTGTTGTTGTTGTCGCGATTTTACTTGTTAATCCCAACTCATGACTAAAAGCGGGTGGTACCTCCTTAATAATTTTGAAAAAGAAATAAGGTTTTCACTCTTTGACACAGGTAAAGTTGACCTGTCTTCCAGCTGGTAGCCAGCTAGCTAGCTGTCAACATGTTACGTCTCCTCGGGACGACGCTCCTTTTGGTTACCCCCTCAGTTGCACTCCGAAATCGATTTGCCGGCGTTTAGTGTGTAAAATAGAGTAGCGGCAAGTCAGTTGCAGAATCAACGGTCATGTGTATTGTTAAGTAACAAGTTCCCTTTCGAAAGATTTAGATTGATTCGTGGAATAAAAGAACCATTGAAGTTACAAGAGTGTTGGATGTGGAGGAGTTCTTTATTCAAGCCGATCGTTCGATCGATTTATTCGAGGTAAGCCTATCATATTATCAAGGGTTTTAATTGAAGGTACAGCGCTGACTTCTCTCCTTCATTGGATTTCTATGGTATTCAGGAGAGAAATCCGAGCTCGGCCGTCAACAAGTGAGTTGTTTTAATTATTCGAATCGATCGCACCTTTTCTATCAAGCCTCACTCAAGCCGACCGACTCCGATGCAGATTGGAAAGACATCCCTCATTGAATCCTATGGACGATGAGATGGCAGTCAGTTCTCGGCCCATGATGGCCAAGTTGTTGCAATTTGAAAAACAAGAGTAAGTCTCCGGTTTTCTTCAGTTGAGCACAGAAAACAAAACTCATATCTATTTGTTGTTTTCTCTGCTGCACTGCTGACGGCCGACGAATTACCATTGTTGAGTCCTTTTCGAACGAACGATTGACTGCTACGGATACAAGAGGAGAGGTTACCGCTACTGAGGAAACTGTTAACTCCAGCCCTACCAACAGCATGAACGATCATCGTCGAGTCATTGAAAGGCAACAAGAGGAGGCTACGCGACAACACACAAGAGAATGGACAATACTACCCGATTCACCCCTCCTTTAGTATTTCCCTAGTATTTTGGTGATGATTTCTGTATTCATACCCATTTTCCCGTGGGAACAGTGCTTGTGGAGCCTGGATTGACAATATTCCTGTATTCATTGTAATGGTGAGGCAATGGAGCGTAGCGAGCAAAACCGAACCTGAGTGTGTTCGGTACTTTGCCACTGTCACCGATTAATGTAACTCTACGGTAACTGGCTACAATGGCTGGATTGACAATATTCGGTCCGGTAACCGTAGCGAGCAAAGCCGAACTTTCGGTACTGTTGCCACTGTAATCGATGTAGCTATACCACAGCTGGCTACAATGGCTGGATTCATAATGTTCGGTTGTGCATGTATTCGTCATAAGGATCCAATGCAAGATACCAGCAACGGAGTGTAGCCAGCAAAGCGGAACCTGAGTGTGTTCGGTACTATTGACACTATCGCCGATGTAACTGTACGGTAGCCGGCTACAATGGCTGGATTGACAATATTCGGTTGTCATGATGTTTCGTCATAAGGATCCAATGCAAGGTACTGGTAACGAAGTGTAGCGAGCAAAGCCAAACTTTCGGTACTGTTGCCACTGTACGCTATGACTTACGAGCTGGTACATGGCTGGTATTGACTAATGTTCGGTTGTGCCTGTTTCGTCATAAGATCCAATGCGAGGTAACGAGTGCCAGCGAGCAAAGTCGAACCTAGTTTGTTTGGTACTGTTGCCACTGTCACCGATCATGAACTCTACGATAGTTGGCTATGATGGCTGGATTGACAATGTTCGGTGTGCATGTATCGTCATAAGGATTCAATGCAAGGTATCGGTAACGAGTGTAGCAGTAAAGCGGAACCTAGAGTGTGTGTTTCGGTACTGTCACGGATGATGTAACTTACGGTAGCCGGCTACAATGGCTGGATTAACATATTCGGTTTTGTGCATGAATTCGTCATAAGGATCCAATGCCAGGTACCGACTGCACGAGCAAAGTCGAACCTGAGTTGGTTCGTACTGTTGCCACAGTCACCGATCGATGAACTACGATAGCTGGCTACGATGGGTGGATTGACAATGTTCGGTTGTGGCATGTATTCGTCATAAGGATTCAATGCAAGTCACCGGTAATGGAGTTAGCAGTAAAGGGAACCTGAGTGTGTTCGGTTGTTGCCACTGTCAGATTGATGTAACTCTACGGTAACGGCTACAATGGCTGGATTGACAATATTCGTGTGTGCATGTATCTTCATAAGGATTCAATGGAGGTACCGGTAACCGTAGCGAGCAAAGCCGAACTTTCGGTACTGTTGCCACTGTCGTCATGTAGCTATACCACAGCCGGCTACAATAGCTGGATTCATAATGTTCGTTGTGCATGTATTCGTCATAAGGATCCAATGCAAGATAACGGTAACGGGTTAGCCAGTAAAGCGGAACTGAGTGTGTTCGGTACTGTTCCACTGTCACTGATCGATGTAACTCTCTGCCTACGGTACGTAGCTGGCTACAATGCTGGATTGCATTATTCGTCATAGTACTAGTAGGATCCAAGTAGCGAGCAAACTGAGGAAACAGGAGTGCAGGAGACTAACGCTGAAAAAAGCCGAATTCTGGCCACATCAGTTCAAAATCGATGAATTGTCTTTTAAGGTCTGGCCGTGGTAGGTCTAAAAATGACAATTCTATGGCTTTATTTGAGCGAATTCGTGTCAAATAGGCGAATATTGCGTCAGATTTGTCGTTATCACCAACAAATGGCTCAATTTGAAGAAAAATCAATCTAGCGACGGCCAGACCTTAAAAAAAGACGTTTGAACTGATGTGTGGCTGTGCGGTACCGTTACGAGGGGTCGGGTTTACGAAGGAGCACTTTGGAGGCGCTCAATCGCAGGCTAGCTCTCAACGGCTAAGTCAATTTGGTAATTAGAGAAAAAAGCACAGTAATTAGACAGTTTCAACGTCTCGGTTCCCCTATTTACAAATCGTGACAATCCTCCTCAAAGAAAACACAAGAAAACAAACTCAAGACACCAACAACAAACCCAAGCGGCAGCAACTATCAGGAAAAGTGAGAGGACAGCAATGGCGGATTATCCTGCATATGCGATACTGTACGGCCCAAGAGCCCTTCTAAGCTTCGTTGGGATTGCGACGATTATAAAGGGGGTGTTCAAGTCTGAACATACCTTTGATGAACTTGGGGTGAAAGCATTCGAGAATGCCAATGCTGCTGGTCTGGAACCAGTTGCCTATTTCGATGATGTTTCAGACATCAACAAGGAGGAACTCGATGCTGCTTGTCCCGTTTCATGGCCTGTTTTTGTGGGCTGGGCGCTATTGGGCGTGGCCAGTCTCATTCCTCATCAAATGGGGATGAATTTTCAAGAATTTGAGATGACTGTACCAGGACTTACTGGATTTGTCTGTTGCATTACCATTGGGTTCATTCTGGTCTGGCCTGTCCGAGAATCCTACAACGAGCGTCAGTTCAGATTCATGGTGCAAAACTATCAAATGGCCTCGGCCTTTGCGGTAGTTCTACTAGGTTCCATCGTTGTCTCAAATTTGCAAGGACCTGTTTGGATGGCACCTTTGGGAGGTGAGTATGGAGGAGAGTTCGCTTGTTGGTTCCAATTCATTTTCCGCTGATCCTTTGATTTAATTCCAACGTTCCATTTCAGCTCTGTGCATCGCCTCAGCCATGTACCGTTTCTGGAAGAATCGAAAGATGGGAGAATCCTGGATGCGAAATGGCAGACCCAACTGGAGCCATGTTGTCTGCAACGGAGGAGGAAACTTGTTTATGTTGGGCTGGTTCCTGTTTTGGTTGGGTTTCTCTGGGATCGATGGCCATGATGAGTGGACGTACTTTCATGTTCACACACCGCTCTACATGAACGTGCGGGCCATCCTTGCTGCTTTGGGATGCTTTATCATTGTGGCATTGACGGTTGTGGTGGAACACATGACAGATGAACACGATGATGTTCTCGAGGCCCCTGTGGGTCGTCATTGTGGTCGTTTCACGGAACTCTTTCTTTCTATTGGGTTCATGGTTGGTTTTGGTCTCTACGGTGCCGCAAGTTACTTCCCGTCAGAGTCAAACATGAGAATCATTTGGAATACTATGTTGACTGTTGTTCTGATCATGCAGGGGCGAGCCTACGGTCTTTTGTATCAAAAGGCTATCCCTAACCACGATGCCAACCGGTGGTCACGCCTTGGACGGATCATCTTGTGCGCATTTGGCTTCTTGGTGCTGTTTCAATTCTTCACCAGGTGGGCTTCTATGGGTATCACCATGGTGGGAATCGTGCTGGTGCTCTTGGGCCATAGGTAAGATCTTGTCGAATTCAGTTCCGTCAGATTGAGGCACATTACGTTTTTTTTCATTAACTTCTTGTCTCCTCTACCGGTCCCCCCGCATCGAATCCCTACCAACCAGACATATCATGGATGATAGAAAGGTAAGATCAAAAGCGCATTCGTAATTCATGATATTGACGAGTTTTTAGTGCTGACATCCATCTTCCCTTGCAATACCTGTTTCTCTGCAATACCCAAAGAGAGGAAAGCTCTTTTTGGATACTGGAAAACCAAATCCAGCGCCTATTGTGTACTCTTTTGGTCCAATCTTGTACACTTTGGGATGGATTCTGCTCGCTCTGGCCATGTCCATTCCTCAGCAAGTCTGGTAGTGACTTGAGCGTGTTTGTTCCTTTTTTGTCGAAGGTGACGGGCAGGGGACCACGAGCTTGGCATCCTTGCTGCAATAAACCATGCAGTATTACTCATATTCATTCATAGCACAACAATTATATTGATCTTTTCCTGTAGCCTAATACGGACATGTATGTTAGGAATTCTAAAGGTTTGCCTCCGGAAGGATTGATGAGGCGGTCGGTAACACTTACTTGAAATCGATACCGTATCTCCAAGTGTGCATACGGCTCATGCTGGCTTCTTCGTGGATCTTGCGCTCGACGATGAACATCTTGGAAGTGCATCGCTTCCGTGACCTTTGGACACGCTTTTGCCTTTGTTGCCATGTTCTAGCTAGTCTATCTCTTTGTATCTCACAGTTTGTCGAAGAGGAACACCCACCAGTATCAAACATAGCCACTCTTTGGCCTCGTTGTCGAACAGGACCTCGCTTCTCCTTTCAGATTCCATTGATCGTTCTCTTCAGAACTGGATTGAGTTGATTGAAGATTCCACCACTTCACATCAACAACCATCATGTCTTGGAAGACAAGATTCGTCACACAATTCCCAGCCAAGGTCCCTTTGATGGCAGCGCCAATGGCGGGTGTATCCGGTGGCGAGTTGGCCTCGGAGGCTTGCCGTGCTGGTGCCTTGGGCTTTATTGCTGCTGGCCACATGACAACCGATAGTCGCCTTCAAGAGCTCGAGGCAGAAATTGCCATCTTTCGTGCCAAGGCAACCAAGGAAGCCCCCTTGTGCATTGGGTGGATTGGGTTTTCGTCCTTTCACACTGAGCAAGGCTTTGACATCTATGAACGCATTTTGAAGCAGCAAAAGCCTGCTGTGGTTCAGTTCTTTGCGCCGGCTATCAGTTATCATCCGACCACCGGGAAGAGTAACGTGGAAATTGCAAAGGAAATTGGGAACACAAAGGTCTTATTGCAAGTCGGAAATGTTAAGGAAGGCGAAGAAGCCATTGCCGCCGGAGCTGATGGTATCATTGCCCAAGGGAGTGAAGGAGGAGGACATGGCTTGCGTCGAGAGGTTGGAAATGGGACGCTGCCATTGGCAGCCCGCATGGTGAAACTTGCAGCTGCAGCGCCTCATAAGCCGCTGGTATTGGCAGCCGGCGGGATTGCAGATGGCCGCGGCGTTGCGGCGGCACTGGCGTTGGGTTGTGATGCTGCCGTGCTGGGCACGAGGCTTTGGGCCTCCAAAGAAGCGTTGAACAAGGATGTGCTCAAGCAACAATTGGTGGTCACAAAGAGCGGTGATGGTGTCCATCGTACCCGTGTTTTCGATCAGATACAAAACGTGTACTTGAACCCTCCATGGCCAGAACCATATGACTCTTGTGGAGCACTACGAAATGAGCTTAGTGAAGCCTGGGATGGAAAACCCAGTGAACTAGCCGCAGAACTGTCCAGAGAGGGAAGTACGGTGGTGGAGGAGTACAAGGCAGCCTCGAAAAAGGGCGATCATTCGCAGGCGCAAGTGCTGGCAGGGGAAGGAGTTGGCGAGATCGAATCTATTGATGCTGCCTACGAAATCCTAATGCAGGTCGACAAGGAGGCCCGAGAGGTCATTGCCAATCTGCCCAAACTACTTTGAAAAGCATGCCAAGCATAAAAAAACACGCTGCTGAGCAAACTGCATTTGATTGTAGAATACAAATCCATCATCCGCGCCCACCAGCGAATGGTCTAACTACTGATAGAATTTTCAGAGCCCCAGTAGATTCTTAACCAGTTAGATTGTTGTCCATTTGCAGGGAACTGTCATGAAATACCGTTCCATCGCGTTGGTGAAACGAGCCTTGTACAAAGGCGGCTGAATAATTGTAGGAGCCTCTGAACCAACCACCATGGGCAGTGACTTTCCCACACGCTCCATCTGCTTCAAAATGTCGTACTGCCGCATAAAGTCGATGATTCCCACGACAAGCTCCATCTTCTCCTCATCAATGCCAACGAGAATCGAGTAGTCCAATACATTGATGATGGAGAGGAACAAAGTGTCCTGCACGATAAGCAAGGGAAAGAAGGGTTAGCGCATCATGACAACATGGCAAGGAGAATACTGTGTCCCAAGAAGCTTACATTTTGAATGCTCATGTGAAAGAGACTCTTTGCTCTATCGGCCAGTGGCATGGGTCGACCTCGTGTAAACTCGAGAAAGTCGCCATCTAACTGTGTCTTGCTTGATGATCCCTTTGAGTTGCTTGCCTGAGTAGTACCGGTATCGTCAGCCTCGCTCCGTTCTGGAACGGTCGATTTCTCCCCAGAACGACTGGCACTGTCGACGTCTGACCCGTGCCTGTTCGGATGACCCGAAGCTGACGCGGCTGTGTCCGAGGGGAGAGGCGGAGTTTCAGACCTTGCATCTTCCTTTGAGCTTTGGACTTGGGCTGCGAAGCGACCACGAAGAGAGCCCTTCAAATCGAACACACGGCTAATCTTGCGATCATAAAAGATGTTCTGAAACATGATGAAATTAAGGGGCGTGAGGCAAAACACATCTTCAAATGGCACGAAGCATCCGTAGTCAAAACCTACCTGCATGACAGCAACTTGCTCCATACTCCTTTTGCCTGTTTCACGATTGTGATACCCAATTTGATACACTCCAACGATCTTGCAGAGCACGGTTGGTCTTTGAGGCGCGAAAGCAAGTGTCGATTAGAATACAACGCACAACAAGCCATCTATCCAACAACGACAACAACAAAATGCTTACAATCCGTGAAAGAACGCTTTGCTCAGGTACTCAAAGTACGCTGGTGCGCAGTCCAAGAACATTTGTAGCTCAGTCCTACTGATGCATTTGATAACAAACCTATCGTCGGATGTCCTCGCGAAGCTAGCGCCGCTCTTGCCTCCACTCGCAGCCCAAGAAAAGGCTGAAGATAGACTCTGGACGTATGCAGACTCTACATCCATGCTCAAGTCCGATTCCGCACTGCTGCCTGCCGAGGATCCTTCTTTTCGGCCGAAAGATTGTGAAAGGAAGACTTGACGCACCGCGTGAAACTGGGTTGCCCAATACGTAGTGCACACGAACTTGCACGTCACCATACCCTTCTCGTCGTAGTCACGGAAGGTGTGTTTGATATGTGTCTTGGCCCGAACCAACATGCGCTGTTCGATTGTTTTTCTCTCATCCACGGACCCTCCCGACTTGCTGGCGCTTGCGGACGGCGATGGCAAAGGGTCGATGGGCTGACCAGCCTCATCAAGCTCACCACTATAGTTCTCCATTATTTTTGCAAAACTCTTGAACTGACGGGCATATTCAGATGAAGCCAGCGAGTAGGCAATCACAGTGCAGAGCTGATCGTCGACAACTGGGACGACAAGACCATTGACCCCTGGTTCTAGCCTGGGTCTTCCTTCCTTGAAAATGCCCAAGTCGACTTGATAAGGATCCGACTCACGCCCGGAACGGTTGAAGAAACGTGAAATTGCGGATTTAACTGCACCACCTGAAGTGCAGGAAGAAGCAATATGTTAGTGGCATGCTGCCAAGATGATGGCATCATGATGAGTGTGGCACACATTTTCCTGCACTCACCTGGTGTAACTCTCGGTTGTGCATTAGTAGACTCATTCTGAACAAGGGAACTGTCGAAAGAACGTTGAGTTCCGAGAGTTTTGTGGAGCTGCCCTCGGGTGGTTTGTCCCCTTTCCAAATGACTGTATGCCCCAGTTCCCATTGATTTCGAATTGTTCAGGCGCCTGCGCGATGCCAGGACATCCGCATCCACTCCGTCCGCAACGAAGTCAACAGAGGCGTCCACGTCTTCAAAGTCGTCATAGTCCTCCTCTTCTTGCTTCCCAGGGATTGTGGGGAGCACAGTGGTGATATCTGTGACGTTGTAGTGCGAATAGACTTCGTTTAGTTGGCGTAAGCGCCTCATTGCCTCGGTGAGTTCTTCAGTACCAGCCAACGGTGCATTTGGCCCAATAACGCCATCGCCTCGATGAGACGCCGATGAAGCGAGCTTTTTCATTGCCACTATCGCTTGCCCAGCTGCCGAGAGCCGTTCATTCCACGCCGAGGTCAGCATGAACAAGTACCTATAGGCAAGAAGCCAAGGAGTAGGGAATGGTTGAGTCAGCGTTGAGCGGGGAACGCCAATAAGCCAAGTTAGTTGCACCTACCTTCTGCTGAACCATGGAAACCTCAAGAATCCTTCGTTGACAACTCCTTCGCCATCTCGGCGGCACTTGTCGGAAACTGATGCGATCTTCTCTTGCAAGGTAAGCGCTGCATGATCGACCTCGGATCCTATGCGATTCAGCTCGCTGAGGACCGTTTGCAAATGTTCAGGCCTGTTTGCTGCGCTGCCAAACAGCGATCGGGCCTCGCGTGCGACCCTATCGATGTGCTTGTCAAATTTCACAAACAGCTTGGACGAAGACATGGAAATTCTCTCCAACTCAAAGAGCGCCTCTCGTTTGTGGTAAGATAGATCAATCGGGAGGCTCTTCCTCACGTAGACTCCCAATGGCCTAACGCGTTCGTCTGGGAAATTGCGGGAACACTTTGAGAATGGGATGCACTGCGGTGACCTGAGAGCACTCCTGCACTTACATGAGAACCGAGCAGCAAGCTTTCCACATCCAAAGTAAAGCATCGTCCCCGTTTGCATGGGGCACGAACAATGGTATTCACTAGAATTCATTACGGCGTCACGGTTGTAGAAGAAGATTTCCAAGAACTTCCCAAACGATAACTTCCATGTGTTCTCACTGATTGTACACGATGACGGCGTCAGATAAAGATAGAACCAGTATTCTGACACAACATGGCTATACACATTTTACTTACCTGATGTATACAAGAGGAGTAACGACCTTGGCGCAGTGTTTGCAATAGGTCCATGTCGCGATTGGACTGTCAACTTCATCCTTGCCGTCGCTATCGTCCTTGCTATTGTCATCGGCCTTCCGCTTGGTATCTGTTGTCGGGGGTGGCAGAGGACCGTCCATGTGTTCAACCTAAGAACAGACAGGTGCCATCGGAAGTTAGATTAATATGGTTGATTTCCAACGTCGACTGGGATATCTATCTTACCGTGATCTTGATGACTCCATCCTTATGAACAAACAAGAGAGAATGGTCATCAACTGATTTTTTGCAAGCTAGGAGGAACAATGAATCAATGAGGACGATGACTGCGTCAGGCAAAGATGGAGCCAACGTTCTGACACAAAATGGACATACCTGGATTTTGGCACTTGAGTGACAAATTGAAACAAGAATCGCGCAGAAACTGTCCTAGAGAAACGTCTTGCAGCGAATAGTAGCAAATGCCCTTCACTTCTGCAGGGCAACACTGAGTCTTTTCTGTCATCCACACCGACGTGATGAGGATGGATTGGTGATCAAAGGCAGTGATCTCTCCTGACAAGGACCTTTGCGACGCCTCATTAGAGCCACCATTCCACGGCCGTACCATTTTGCGTCCTGGTTGTGGGCTTCCGTAGTCAACACAGAGGGAAGAGCTGAAGATGTGCTTTGGCTGCAATTGAAAGTCGGGACGGATCCTTGCACATCTCTCTTTTAGATATGACGTCTCTAATCGCAACGAGTAGGCGACGTTGACCAAGAAGCGAAAGGCGCGTTTGACTTGCTTCAGCGCAGCACGACTTGCACCTCGAAGCACAACTGAACATCCAAGATGTTTGGGACAACCTTCCAACATGACAAAAGTATTCGCAACTCCTCTCTTTGCCAAACCAGCCTTGATGGCTTCAGCTCCATCCACCACACTGTCACCCAATACGTTGGCTGCTAGTGCCGCCTGTCTTTCATGGTTGGCCAGGTCCTGCTTTCGAAGTAGGTTGCGAATGGATCGTTGTTGGCTATTGGAGACAGACGAAGTGGCATTGTAGACATCCTCATCATGATCAAATGGGTCGACCCAAATTTCACTGTCTCGAAAGGTGACCAATCGAAAGCGGCTGCACTCTCCCAGAACATGGGCTCCAAACTGATTCATAATGTGATCCGTGGAAGAGATGATGGTTGCCCCAGTCTGTCGAGAGATACGGCTCATCAGGGTTGACTTGACGTGTTGAATCAAGACCACATTGGCTTTGAGGAACAATTCCAACGCTCGACGAGACACGGACCGCCCCACACAGAGTACATCCGGCTTGAGTTTGAGAATTCTTCCCACAAGGATTTCCATGTACTTGTTCTCCTGTTCCAGCAACGTGTGCAGAGAAGCGAATCGATTCTCGGTGCGAGTGAATTCAATACCACCACTGAGGAGCATGATTTTGGGGTTTTGAATCTCCTTGGCCATTCTCTTGTGACTGACCGTTTTGCGGAACACAATTCCCGACAAGTAGGCACAATCCTGAAACGATCCACCCGGAATGACTTTGATTTTCACATAGGGTCGAATATCCAACAAGTCTCCCTTTTTGACATTGGGTTCCACCGTGGCACAGCACCGTGTTGCCAAGGTCATGAGTTTTTGCAACCATTGCTTTTGTACTTTTTCAGCGGACATGATGTGAGACGATGTTGTCCTCTGACTTTTAATCTCCTCTTCAATTTCTTGGCGCAAGAGTGGTGCATCCTTTCTCAACAGGCTCTCTCCCATTTTCTCCAAATGATTGGCGGCTGTCAAACCCAAATGACGGTTGGCCTCGCTACTACTACTATTATTGTCCTGTGCATTGTTGCTGTGGTTGTGATTGTCGCAATTGTTGTTCTGATTGTGTGTGTGCTGGTCTTGCCGAATGGCGGCTCGCCAGTGCGCTTGCGTGGGGTATTCCAAACTGGTGTTGTTTTGATCTCTGGATTCCACCATCCAAGCCGGTTTGGTGGCCAGCATGTCGTCATTGTTACCAGCAGTAGTAGCGTTGTTGGAGGCATCCGGGTCCTTTTTGGCGGTCGGTCGTTTGGGAGATGTCTGTGGAATGGTGAGCGTCTTGTGATCCGTCACAACGGGGCGTCCCGTCTCGTCTCGTTTATCTTCTGCTGCTGTGGCATTGCTGTTGTTGCCGGCATTATTGCTATTGCCAGTGGTACCAGTAGCGTCCGATGTTGCAGTCGTAGTGGATGCATTGCTAGTGTCATTGGTACTATTGCCGGCAGTCCCGTCCTTATTATTGGTTCCATCCATGAGCAATCCCCCCTTTTCGGCGACCTGTTCATAGCACACTCGACAGGTTCTTAGAGTGGCATTTCCCTTTTTCTGGGATGGTACAAAAAAGGAGGAACAGGAGGAGCAAAAGACTTGTCCACAGAGTCGACAGTGATGCCGCCTCCGAAAGACCGTAAAGGGCGTATCACACAGGTAGCAGTGTTTGCAAAGCTGATCTGGCATCCAATGTTGGCGTGAATTGTAAAAGTCATGCGGTCCATCTGCGGATGTAGGTACAGTGTTGTTGTTGTTGTTGCTGTCATTATTATTGTAGTCGGGTTGTTGATGATAACTGTTGTTTCTTCCATACATCCATTGCTGCTGCTGAAGGTGTTGTGTCTTTCGTGGTTCGTGATTGGACTTTTCTTCGCCCTCCACCGCTTTCCACAAGGTTTGTTCATCATAATCCCAATCACGGTGTGTGTGGGTGACGGTGCTGTTGGGATTGTTCTTGTTGTTGTTGCTGTTGGTAGATAGCTGTACGATGGAGGAGTGCTTATTCTTATGACTCTTTTCCATGGACAAGAGCATACCTGGAAACGCATGGTGCAACCGACTACTGGATTCAGCCGTCAAGGAAGCTGGAATGATGGATTGATGGCCATTATGGTTGTTTTGTGGATCCAACTTGGATTCCTCGTCTTCTTCTTCCTCGTCGTCGTTCGTGTCATCATCATCATCATTGAGCCAATCTTCGTCGTCATCTTGTGTATTGTTGGTCCCATAGGCGGGAAACTGCGTCAATAGTCGATCGGCTAGCTCATCCAAATCTTGGACCGTCCCTTCCAGGTCCTTTTCTTCTTCGTCACGAATCAACGCACTCAAGTTCTTGCGTCTTCGATTGTCTCCATAATCGTCTCCGATCCCTCCCCAATACGAAGAAGCACCGACACCCGTGCTGCCCCACAAGTAGTTCGACAGCATTATTGTAGTACTTTAATAGTACTGTATAGTGGCTTGATAGTTAGTAAAGCAGCATGGGAGACAACAAGTACTAGTACTAGTACGGTATTAGAAGAAACAAGCTGATTCGAGGTGGCAAAAATGCTGCCTCCGAAAATGGTAAAAATATTTCCTTTGGCGGTTGGATGATTTTCATTTTTTGAGCCACATTTTTCTCCACGGTCTGCCTCCACGGTTTTTGAGCTCTATCCTTAACTAAGGTTTTGAGCGCAATTTTTGCGGCTCGTCGCGCCTTATTTTGCTGAAAGGCGCTTGCGCTGCTGTCATCGCTCATCATCACAAGCGACGGCAACAGGGTACCGATACCTAGCATCCAATCACTCCCATGGAAGCAGCAAGGTCCAACGAACCAACGATAACGCTATTCAGACAACAGAAGGACTCACCCAAGAATCAAATGTTATTGAGAAGAAGAAGATAGCTGAAGAAGAAGAAGAAGAGAGCCGAGAGGGGATGGCATCACTTGGCAAGCATACTATGACATAGAAGCACAGCACAGTTCTCAAAGAATTCTGGATGGGACCACAGCATGTCTCCAGCTTCTCTGCGACGTCGGCTGATTTGCAAGGCGCATCACCGGCAGAAACGTCTCTCATTCTTGGAAGACGACGACAATGATGTCAAAGATCGTCGCACACAGCACTATTCCAAGGTTCGCATCCGCACGCTACCTCTTTCCGACGAGGAGGATTCCTACGTGGTATCCGTCAAGCGACGTCTTCCCGTGACATTGGGACGCGTCAATCTTTCTACATGGTGGTGGAGGGCGTGTCCTCATTGTTCGCAAGAATACGGTAGTGAGGACCGAAGAAATAAATATTGGGCACCCTCGTCGCCGTGTCGCAATCGGTGTCGACCACTAGCAAAACATGTGCGGGATATTTCCAAGGAGATGATTTATGTCAATGAAACGGGGGATTTGGATATTTTGGGGTTGAAACCAGAGATTGTGCACATTTCCGCGAAAAAGGGAGATGGTCGCAAAACGGTATCCATTGGAGACAATGCGAGGGATCCGTGGGTCAAGTTTCAGTTGGAGTTTATTGCAGACCAATCTACAGGACCAGGGGACTCACGGGCTGCCACCAACAAGAGTACGACGAATGGACGCAACAAGAGAAGAAGAGAACCCGAGGAAGAAGACTCGTCTGCTTCTTCGCCGCCATCCCAGCCGACCAAGAAGAGGAAACAGTCTAGTAGCAGGCCAACACAACAACAATCGACACGACAACGAAAGAAGAATCGAATGTTTGAATCGCAGTCCAGCCAGGAGGACACACCTCCGGCCCAGTGGCAGACACGACGAAAGGACCCATCTCCATGTCGAAAGTCCAAACAACAACATCGTTGTGAAAGGCACGAAAAGCAAACCAAAAAACGGTTGCTGTCACTTTCACAATCCAGTCGCGAGGAATCCTCCGAGCCTACGCCTGCGGATTCCGCCATTGTCGACTACTTGGAGACGCGAGATTATAAGGAGCTGTCGGCGGAAGGAGAGGAGACCACTAAAAGGCAACAACGAAGGCGCGAGCCCAAGAAACGTCCCATGCAATCACCGCGGTCGTCTTGTCATCAATGGGAATCATCCAATCATCGGACTGCACAGCGGTCAACAACCACCGCAAAACCAAAATCGGACCACCATTTGCGACCGCGAGCCTTGCCATTCTCACAGCCGCGATCCTTGCAATCTTCACATCATGCACATTCGCGATCATTCCAATGTTCGCGAGAAGACTTCAAGGAATCGTCAAGTCGACAGACTGCGACGAAACCGCGGGAAGCTGACACACAAGTAGGAATCAAAGTGGCTAGCAGCAACAGTCTTTGTCCACGCACGCAAACCAATGATCCATTATCACAGCAGCTTTCAAGCAAATCACAACGCTTTTCGAGCAAATCACAACGATCGGTGTTGCCAGAGAGACAAGACGGAAGCAGATTGGCCAGCAGCAGTCTTTGTCCACGCACGCAAACCAATGATCCAATATCTCAACTGCTTTCGACCAAACCCCATCGATCGGTGGTGAGCCAGCGCCCGTCAAAAGAACAGACTGCGCCAGTAGAAAATCCAGGCACACAGCAGCAAGAACTGTATTGCCAGCAATCGTCCGGTGAGAATGACTTTTTCACGCCAAGGGATACCGCTCCCCCACCATCTGATACCCAACAGGAAGAGCCAAAGAGATCGAAGGGCGAAGATGAACAGTCATCCGCCAGCACGTTGAACCAGGAGGGAGGCCCAGTGTTGCCCAAGACCTCGTTGTTTCTCCTTGGCCAATCTTCAGCAGAATCGTCGGGGATTAACAGTCAAAGCAACGGGTGCCAAAGCCAACCCCGTCAATCCCCTGGCAATCCACGAGGACAACATGAGGATGTTGATGATCAGCAAGATGTGCTCCCCTCGTTTGTACTCCCAGGCGCTGGCTCGTCCGAATCCAATTCCAATGTCATGAGGGAGTGCGCAAGCCAACCAGCTGCTGATACCGAACAAGATAACGGGATCGTTGCACTGACAAGGCAGCCCTCGTGCGATGGTAGTGACTCCAGTTCTGTTCTGTCACTTCCCACTGGGGACAAGGTGCTTTCCACGCAAACGTCTGTTGTAGTAATGCACAATGGAATGTTGTCGCAACAGCACAGCCAGAGAGCAAAGGTTCATGTCGGGAACACGCAACAAGCAGCGACTTGCAAGGCCACACGTGCCTTGATGAAGATTATAACTGAAAAGAACAAGGAGGATGACGAATCCTTCTGGCGGTATGCTCCTTTGGATGGTTGCAGCCGCCGGCGCTTGTAGCATTATTTTGTAACAGTTGTAACATAAATCCATGAAGATATAATCCAAGCCCACATGTTCAAGGAAAGCAACCAGAAGTAGTCCCTGCTACGAAGGCATGGTATGTAGCCACAATTATTTCCATTTTAATTAATCAACCTCCAGCTGTTTGCTCCGCCTATTGGTGGCGGCAGCCAATTGTCCATAAACTGATTTCCTAGCCAACCCAAGCCAATGCAACGATCGATGGGCTACGAGCAAGTGCTGGGAGCAGAACGTGATA